CCCCAAAACCCCAAAACCCCAAAACCCCTTTATATATCTTTATTGCTGAATAATTATAAACTCAAAATTGATGAAAATTATTACCATATTTGCTTTATTACTGGCATTTAGCTATGCAGAAGGAGAGTGCCAAGTTTTTAAATGTCATAGTATTGAACAACAGGATGGCATTCAACTGTGAGCTCAGCAAACTGAAGGTGAACAAAATGAACCTGATTTCTTTGGAGTGGAGAGATGTTCTCCAGACCAATTTTGTCAAGCACAAAAATGGGAGTCTCCTGAAGATGTCCTGCCTGATACTTCGCTCAGTTGTGGAGATACTAGTACTAGGAATTTTCCTCCTAGTTTAGAGTCGATGAATGGACAAGCTCTTGATGGAGATCATTGAGAACAAGATTCGCATTGCTTTAAGACAGAGGATAATGCAGCTACTTGAGAAGCAGGGGTCTGCAGAGCTTCAACTAAACCAGGAGATCTATGTTCTGGAAACTCAAGAAATTGACCAAAAGGATACTTCTGTAATATTGATAATATATGTGCTGAATCTTTGCTCAAAGGAGCAATATGTACGAGACATAGAGAATGTGCAAGGAATCATGCTTGCATCAAAGTTAAGGGAGAGCAAGACTTTGTTTGCACAGAGTATGGCACCTTATCCAACGGAGTCTTATTCACCGAACATTCTGAAGACAGTTTTAAAAACCCAAAAAGTTTATTGAAAAATACTTTGATTTCAATACCTGATGCTGTTGGAGAGATGCAAGGTCCATTTGTTTGCAAAAGCTTGGCAATGATGAGAGTAGATGGGTATCACCAGTGTAGGTCTAATCAAAGAAATGTTGATCAGACTTATATGGTAGACTCTCTTGACCAATCTTGCAAAGTTCAAATATTTGCAAGAGATGGAGCTGAAAACTATGACAAACCAATTATAATAGAAACAACTCCTAGATGCGGGTTTAACAAAAACACAAGTGCTGTTTGCCCTCTTCAGCCAGGAGATAACTACGCTATGGACTTATTCTATGACTCATTCATGTCAATCGGCCGTATGGATTGCCATAGACTCTCAAATAGTATTCCATTCGAAAATGGAAGGAATTGTAAGGAAGTATGGAATGTGAGAGATAGCCAACTTGTATTCAAATTGTTGAGATTTTATCAGATTACTCTTTTCCATCATATGTGGGCCAACACTGCAGCGAACGAGAAATGCGTAGCTCAGACTATCACTTATAATCTGTGGAATGGAATGGAAGATGGGCTATTAGATTAAATCCTCAGAGAGAATAAACTTTGTAATAATTTCTTACTATAGGATAAGAAGTTCCAAGATAGATTAGCTTCATTCCTCTTTTTGAGCAAATTAACTAAATTTGAATGCTCAATGTGGTGATTCCCTATAGGGGTTTTGGGGTTTTGGGGTTTTGGGGTTTTGGGGTTTTGGGG